GTGTGCTCTTCCGATCTCCCCAAAACCCCAAAACCCCAATTAGAGAATCATCTCTAGTTTAAAAGTAGGAATTCATAAAATATTTAGTTAATACTTAATTCCATTTAAAGAATTTCATTTACAGCTAATTTGGAACTATAAGCTGATAACTTAGAGTGCTTGAATCATTAAAGTTAAAATGATGCTTTCAGATTATTAGATTATACTGATATTCATCTCATTCATATTTCTATTGATGAAGGTGCCTATTCTCTTTACTGGATAATTGGATCATTAAACCATTAAATATTTGTTAGCTATATATTTTAAGATTTTTATTTTAAAGTAAGTACCTTTTCAAGAGTCAAAAGAAACTTATGCTTAGTAGGGCATGGATGTTACCTAGTTCCCAACTCCAAACTCAAAATCTCGCATATTCTTTAGAGGGTGAAAGGTGGCCTTTTAAATTTTGTGATTAATCATTTATTTACATTGACTTAAAAGAGTTGTAATAGCTATTCATGATTTCTAGTATCTAATCATTATTTCTGTGTATTTCTGGAAAAGTGTTTTCTTTCAAAGTCTCCTCTCCATTAATCACTTAGCTCTATTTTTCTTCTTATTCTTCCTAATCATACTCATCTAGCCTCTTGAATAAGTTTTAATTTCATGTAAGTATTAATACTTTTAATATTTTGAGCTAGATTATATTCTTGATGCTTTTGTACCAAAACAACTCTATTTGCTGAGAATCAATATGCAAGTTAAATGAATTTTAAGTCTGCTCATTAATAGGGTAGAATCTGGCTATTTTAGCTATAACTTAATCGAATTGATCCTCAAAGAGGCTATAATCTTCCAAGCTTAAGTTTGTAGTATCTATATAATATACACATTAGTATATAAAATCAGAGAAGTTAGAAATTTATTCTTAATGTGAACTTACCTTGGAGTTTCTCAATAAAATTTTCCATTAAATATATCTAGTAAAAGAATTAAAATTAAATAATTCTAGTTAATTAAATTAAGAGTTGATAAGAAAGTGAATTCATAATAATGTCTAATAATTTTAAGAAAGCAATTAAGCCAACCAATATTAATTAAATTCAATCAATTACAATCAATTATTTTGCAGAAAATTATTCATGTTACAGTGACCTATGTTACCAAACTGAATTAGCTAGAAAACTCAAAATTGAGTCATGTTCTCATACAATACTTTCAGAGGAGTTACCTATTTTTGTGATGCTCTTCTATTTTGCTTTAGAGATTAATGGGTTTACGTTTTATTCTTCAAGTCAGATAATAATTCTCCAGTCATATCAGTTGAGTAATTAGATTTCATCTAAGTTCTTCTTCTTGATAGTTTATCACTTTAGTAAAGCTTACCATTGCTATTATCAATCACAAATTAATTTGTAACTCCTTACTCAGGCTAAATATAGTTTTGGAAATCTAAAATATCACATGAGTTTCTACCTGTAGCTAGTTTGCTGTCAATGAAAATATTCTCCTTATTTTTGGAATCAAACATCATTCTATTAAAACTAGAAAGATCATGCTATTGTTCTCCACTTATCAAGGGATCTGAATACTCTTAATCTTAATTAATTTGAATCAAATTCTCCTAGTTAATATCCTACTAAAATATTCCTGAAGTTCTTATAGCTTGATCAAGATATTATGATTGCAGTTAGGATTGGATCGGTTCTAAGTATTTCTGGCAAATTGATACTTCACTACTATGCTCTTCATTTTGTTGTTGCTAATTCTCATTTGATTTTCTGTATCTCATGTCTGGATAGAAAATGATTCCTGTCTAAATATCCTCAAGCTTTGCTCTTTGCATTCCTTATATCCCATTAAAAATATTCATGTCTCTAAAATTATCTGATCTCCACATTTATCTCTCAGAACTAAAAGATCTCTTTCTTTTTTGTAGTTGAAATTATGGGCTGCACAAATCTAATTCAGGTTTTTATATTTGCTAATATTGGAGAATTGAGTTTTATATAGCTGATTGAATCTAGTCATAGTTTTATTCCTCTAATGCTTGATCCTAATTACTTTAAATTTCTATCTAGTCATGATAAATCATATTGACTCCTCCGTTTGCTTCTTATTCAGTCACTAAGTCTAGAGTGAAATTCTTAGGGGAAGATCTTATAGACTGTAACTATGAAGGAGTTCTAAAGCCAGAATATAAAATTTCATCATTAAAAAGCGGGGAATCATTAAGAAGAGTTTAAGCAGTAGTATGCAGATAAGTGCGAGATCTTAAAGGTGATAAGGTGCTGTCAAGGAAAACTCTTTGCTTGTGACCTTCTCTATGATTGTTCTAACCAATACTGGCAAAAAGAAAGTTATTGTTATTTGTGGAGTCGAAATGCTTAGAAAAACCTAAGTTTAGATTAGACTTATTTTTACTTTAATTTCTTGAACTTGATGGAGGAATTAAAATCTATTTATTAAGCTCAAGTTGCTATAGTTTCAAGTCAAGATCTTTCATAGTTGTTTATCTATTATAGTTCTGAATGGAATTTAAATGTAAATTGCGATTTCCGATCTCAAATGGCCCTACTTTTGGGTATTCTTCTATAGACTCAATAATTGCTCGTTTAAAATTCATATTCTTCTCTTGTTATTATAAATTAAAATTATATTTGAAGTTAACTGCTAATATCTTACAAAATATCACATAGGGGTTTTGGGGTTTTGGGGTTTTGGGG